AATGAAAAATATAGAACTATGCACTGTTAATAACATAAGTATCTCTGCTTTAAAAATTTCGCTACGGAACAAGTCAATAAAAAATTATGGGATACAATGAGATATATGCTCCACCGTATTCTAGAGTTGCACGTTGGTGTATCGAATGTAAGAATGTCAACAAGATTCTGTTCTGTTCTTCAGATCGTTTTATAACATTGGCCGAAACATAGTTTTATTACCATTATGTTCGGGAAAAAAATAAGAATCTACTAAGACTTGAAAAAGACGACAAGATATCTTTAACTCCTAAGAGATTAAGGAGTCCTTTCGAAGGTAAGATTATATGATTTCTAGGATAGACAAGGGAAAGTAATGATTGAATAGAAGCTACTGTTGCGGGCACTTTGTATACAGATATAAAAAATGCGCAACGAAATGGCTGGGCAAACTCGCACATGGCCTTACAAAGACCACCGTTGGCTGCAATTCGAGATGATAGCTTTGAAATACTTGAGCATCCTCCATATTCACCATACCTACCACCACAGTTATTTCTAATACCGAGATTAAAAGTATCGGAGAGGACACAGACTAGAAGATGACGAATCAGTAGTCGTCGCAGTACAGAAATGTTTAAGTTCTCAAGATGAAAAGTTATTTAGGAAGGATTTTTGATTGAACTCTCTTAGTACGGGTATGATTAAGATTTTTACCACCACGGTTACATAGTTCACGTTTTTTCATAACAAGACATTGTTTTAGATTTATATTTACACAGTATTAAGTAAGGATTCCGTTTAGTAATTGCAGAAAAGGTATTAAAATTCCAATTAATTCTAGTTTTTTTTTAGTTCTTATAATTCTTTTGTGAATATTCCTGCGTGATATCGATGTTTTTTCCTATTTTATGTCACATTTTTCAGTTTAAACGTTAGCGTTAAGTATTAAGAAAGGAAAAGGTTGTGATCACTTTTTGTCTAGGTGATTGAATTTGAATTTTCTTTGTTGTTTTGGTTAACAAAGTAGTGATAGATTTCTATTGGCTAGTAAAGTCCCATCATGTTCATGTGTTCCTGTCTACAACTGTTTAGAAGATAATGTCAGTGTGCATGTGATGCATAAGTCATTAAGCTACAAACACATTTGGGGAAGTAAAAGAGATTGGTGATATGAGTCAATGCAAAATTACTTAATTTTACTATTACATAATACATATATAAACACTCACGCCTGTCACCCAGAGGGGTAGGCAGAGACTACAGACTTCCATTTGGCGCGATCCTGACACACCTCTCTCGCTTCTTTTACATCCATATATCTACGCATACACGCTCGTCGGTTAAGGGTACTCCTAATCTGGCCCATTTTTAATGTATCGCCGATTTGGTCGATAAACCTTCGTCTAGGGCGTCCCTTCCCGACCCTGCCGTTCACTTCTGCAACATAAATTTGCTTTGTCACTCTTTCCGCGTTCATTCTTTCTACATGACCAAACCACCGAAGCATTCCTTTCTTAATCCTTGTCACAACGTCATTTTGCAAGATGACGTTAATTTTACTACTTACTATTTATTACTTTAACTTGACGTACAGTGGCGGCAGACGTAAGATAATCTTTCGCCACATTTCACCCCGTTTTTCTCGTGAGAAGCGATGACTTTCAATAGCTGGCAGTATAATCCTTCTTTTTATTTATTTAAAACTAAAGTGCAATACCATAAAACTAAGGGTACCTACATAGTGTGGACTTAATGCCATGAGCCATTCTCTACCAATCAACACTGGTCGTTAAAGATCGATATGTCATATCATATCACATGACCTGTAGACCCAGGCGTAAAATAACAGTACCAGTAATAGGAAGCAGTGCTAAATGTGCGGAAGATTTAGCGTTACGACGGTGGCTGTCAATCATAGCGATTTTTTTTATATGATAGGGTAACAAACGAGCACACAGTCCACCTGATGGTAAGTGGTTGCTGCGGCCCATAGACATCTACATCTATCCTCGTTTGCGAATCAAAATGCAGATGCTTTGTCACCCGTGAGGACTAAGATGGAATGCCTCATTTCCAGTAAAGCCTCCGGCCACCTGCACTTTCCAACGAAAGTTAAATTAAATTCTCCCTACAACGGGAGAGGCCTATGTATAGCAATACTCTCCTGGCCTCATGAAGTTAAACCCTCTTTGTCTGCCGACTTCCAAAAAGGAGACGGTACTCAATTCGACTGTATGTTTTTTTTATGTGTGTTACCTCATAACTTTGTACTGGGCGAACCGATTTCGATGATTATTTTTTTATATGAAAGCTGATAGTTCTCGTGTGGTCCCATATGAATTTGATCAAGGTCAGACCAATGGTTAATAAGTTATTCTTAAATAACCTATATTGAAGTCGGCTGTACAAAATTTTTAATTTTAAATTATCATCATTATCATTACCGTCCTTCACAATCCCACAGCTGAACATAGGCCTCCCCCAAGGAATGGTCCTGAGCCACCTGCATCCATCGACTTCCTGCATGTCTTACCAGGTCTTCTCTCCATCTAGCGGGGGGGGGGGGGGGGGTCGACTTACACTTCGACTACCGGTACAAGGCTGCCACTCCACTCGAGAACCTTTTTTCCCATCGGTTGTCGGTTCTTCGAGCTATATGGCCGGCCCATTGCCACTTCAGTTACTAATCCATTGGGCTATGTCCGTTACTCTGGTTCTACTGCAGGTAACTTCATTTCTAAGTTTATCACTCAGAGAAACCTCGAGCATAGCTCTCTCCATAGCTCGCAGAATGATCTTGAGCTTCCTCATACGGCCAGCAGTGAATGACCACGTCTTAGATCCATAAATCATCACTGGTAACACGCACTGGTTGTACACTCTCGTCTTCAAGTTTTGAGGTATACCTGATGTGCCGTAATTTCCCGAACGCTGCCCAGCCGAGTTGAATCCGTCGATTGACCTCTCGGTCGAAGTTGGACTTATCTAGTTGGACTCTTTGTCCCAGGTAAACATACTCGTCAAAAACGTCGTCAAGAGCCGTGGTAGTTCAGATGTTTAAGTTTCACAGAACGCAAGCAACCCGGGTTCTATCCCCGCCGGCACCAATGAAATTGTTAATTGCAATTTTAAATCCTGATTACCAAGTGCTCGGCGGTGAAGGAAAAGCCGCGAGGAAACCTGCATGTATGAGAAATGAGAAAAAAATATTTTCGAAGACATGTGAAGTTCGCCAACACGCATTGGGGTAGCGCGGCGGACATTTCCTAGCCCTAAAACCCTCTCAGAAATGAGAGGAGGCCTGTGCGCAACAGTGAGACGTATATAGGCTGTAACTTTAAACATATCGTCAACAACTTCGAGCTTAGTGCTCCCAACAACTACCGGCATAGGCGTGACATGGACGTTATTACACATGATCTTTGTTTTGTCCATGTTCATCTTAAGACATATCCGTTGGGGGGCACTATTGAGGTAATTGAGCAAAGTGCTTAGGTCCTCCAGCGATCTTGCCATAAGAACTATATCGTCGGCAAATCGAAAGTGAATAATGTACTCGCCATTGACGTTAATACCGTATCCTTTCCAGTCCAGTAACTAGAAAACGTCTTCCAATGTAGCGGTGAAGTTTCGGGGATATAACGTCACCCTGTCTTACACCTCTCTGCAGTTGGATAGGTTTCATACTCTGGTTCTGTATTCGGATAGCCATCATAGCGCTATTGTGCAAACACTTCAGCACTTCGATATACCGACAGTCAACTTGGCACCGCTGAAGGGACTGCAGCGCCGCCCAAATTTCGACGAAATCAAAGGCTTTCTCATAGTCCACATACGCAAGAAATAGTGGCAGATTGTACTCCTCGGTCTTCTGTACAATTTGCCGAAGGCTCAACTTATTGATTTAAAATTATTTACTTTATTTATAAGCTTACCATTCGTAAATTATAATGAAACCCAATTTAAAGAAATCTTAATTTGAGTGTGTGTGTGTGTGTGTTGTATCATCTTGAAACCAATCATATTCGATGCGCAATAGCATAACTAATACCGATTGTTTTCACTAAAAAAATATAATGTTTCAAAAAAGTTACTAAAATTAACGATTATTAAATTGATACTGGAGGGAGACCACAAGGCACCCTTATGCTTATTTGATTTATGTTTGGGACCCAATGAAATAGCTGTATGAATATCTTGGTCGAAAATGCCATATGGCATTAAGTCTGCCGTTTGTACCTTTAGTACAATAAAGTGTATAAATCTATACAAATAAATAAAACTGAAGTGTCTGATTTTAATGTCAAAATAACAACTTTTTACTAATTGCATATGAAAGTATGTACTTACAGTACTTATAACAAAAACACAATTATTAAAAATTTTGTCTGTCTGTTTGTTCCGGCTAATCTCCGAAACGGCTGGACCGATTTTGACGGTACTTTCACTGGTACGAAGTCGCGGGGAACAGCTAGTAAATAAAATAAATAAATAATTCGATCAAGTAAACTACTTCTACTTGTTTAACAAACAACAGTGTTTGCATTTTTATATAATTACATAATGCCAAGACGCAACGAATAAATTATTACATTTCGTTAAGAGCTGATTTCACAGCATAAGATAGATGAATGAATGTTTGCCGTTCTAGTTGCCGGAAATAGGTAACTACGTAGATTTCGACATTAATCGCAATCCGGAAGTTACCACCTATAATTTGTGTACGAATTCATTTAATAAGTAACATTTACAGCCTAGTGTAAAAGATCGTGAGGAAGAAAAGGGAATGTTAATATTTATTTTACTTTTACTGCAGATTATTCTACCTAAATAATTATAGTCCAAAAAAGAAAACAAGAAATTTTAGGCATTTTATTTATTTAAACGGGTTCTGTTTTACACTTGTTTGATGTGTTCCTTTATTTTATTTCTAGATGTTTTAAAGAAATTAGTTTTATATATATATATATATATATATATATATATATATATATATATATATACATAACAATGCAAGTCTTATTTCCTAGAAAGTTTTTTCTTAGTTAAAAATCCTGTTTTTCTAACAATCCGTTTTCTTTCTTCATAATGTTTCTTCATTTTTCTATGATTATCTGTTATATTCTTTTTGCCCCTCATTGTAAATTTCATTTCCCTGTTTCCACCAGCGCCAGTGGCCATTGTTGAAAAACCTTCTCTTGTCAGACGTTCACCAAGACTTGTTTTACTTACTCGAGTAATGCTTCTGATGTTTGTTAATTTAGGAGCACTGCTGAATTCATATACTCTTTCTTTACTTGATTCTTCTTTTTCTTCGTCTTCCTGTTTTTTATTTCTAATAATTCTGTGTTGTTTTTTAATCTCTTTTGTCCATAATTTTTCATCGTCAGAACTTTCTTCACTCGTTTGATATAAATCGATATCTGAATCATTATCATCTTCAACATGTTGCTCAACCTATACAATTAAAAAGGATTTATTTTTTAATTATACGACATTCTAAAATAATTTCAGCACGAGCAATATAAAAATAATAACTTACTTTATCAGTTTCCATATCAGCGTTTACTTTCTTTGTACTCTTCTTATCTAACCTGGATAACACAGGGTTCAGTAAACGGTATTCATCAGCTCCTTTATCGACTTCAAAGTCAGGATTTTCAAATAATTCCTAAAAATAATATTTACGTAATAAATAATTCATTAAAATCTAAACTGTTTAATAAAGGAAGTTGAATTATAGATTACCTTAAAACGATCATCTTTAAGTAAATTAATTGATTGTTTACTTTTTCGTCCTTCAGCGTTTTGGAGACGTGAGGCCAGTTCTCTGTTAATTTTTGGCAAGTTATCATCCACTTTTAACCTGGCCGGTCTCTCCTGTTCGATTTTTTCTCGAATCTTACGCTTTTTATATTCATCAAAAGCAAATGGATCTGCTATTGTTTTAGCTCTCTTATATAATCGTGCATCCACAAAGTATCTGCAAGACATTACAGTTTATTTTTTTACAATAAATACATTTTAAATATTATATAAAATTATTATTATAGATGTTTACATACCCATGCATATAAGCTCTCAATAAATTTGTTCCTAGTAGATGGTCTAATCCAAGTGATTCCAACTCTTGTTTTGTAATAAACTTGTAATCGTCATATACTGTCTGGACCGCCGAGCTTTCTAGCTCTTCTGTTAAGTTATCTAAGAAGGAACACCACTTTGGCGCAGGCCCTAAAAATATATAAATTTAAGATAAACGTTAGACATAAAAATTTGGAATTATATAATGCTGAATTTTAAACAAATTACAAACCAGGGCCGAATGTATAGTGAGCAACAAAGAAATAGGAAGCTCAAAACGAGACAAAAAATATTTCACAGTGTTTTAAAAACTTTAATTTTAAATATAAGATAAAACTTAGAAACCCTAAGGCCGCGTTCTCGAGTACATTGGTAACCGTGTAGTGGCGGTTAAGAATATCCACTCCCCCATATCTTCCCGTGGGTGTCGTAAAAGGCGACAAACGGAAACAGGCAGGAGATGGGCAGCAGCATCTTCCTGATAACAGCAAAAATACAATAAAAAACTGCAGTTGCCAACCCGTTCGCCAAGCGTGGCAACTATGGCAAATACCCCCATATGAATGTAACAAAGAGACGGCCCCCAGTCCCCGGCGGCCCCGCTATTCCTGGCTACGGTGGCGACCATGGTAACGGCGGGGCAGGGGGTACTAAGAATCTCCGGTGGAGGTTCGGTTGCCACCTAAGACAACTCGACCTGGTAACATACAACGCACGCACCCTGAGGACTGACGAGAAGATCGTAGAGCTGGAAGAAGAGATAGACAAGTTACGCTAGCATATTATAGGCTTATCCGAAGTCCGAAGAGAGGGGGAGGGCACGGTAATCCTCGAATCCGGCAACTTGCTCTATCACCGGGAGGGCGACCATCTGTCCCAAGGAGGTGTCGGATTTATCGTCCACAAGTCTCTTGTTAACAACGTTGTAAAGATTGGGAGTATGTCGACGAGGGTTGCGCACCTTATACTCAGAATCACCAAACGGTATTCGCTGAAGGTCATACAGGTTTACGCACCAACCTCGGCACACCCCGATGAGAAGGTGGAGGAAATGTATCATCTCTAGAGCCATACATTCCTCCAAAACCCAATATACGGTGTTAATGAGAGACTTCAATGCAAAACTAGGCACAAGAGAGAACGGTGAGCTGAAAGTAGGGAAATTTGGAATAGGGCAACGGAATCCAAGGGGCCAGCAGCTGGCCGACTTCATGGAGAAAGAGGGACTCTTTATGATGAACTCTTTCTTCCAGAAGCGGCCCCACAGGAAGTGGACCTGGTCGAGCCCCGACGGTTCCACAAAAAATGAGATTGACCTCATTATGACGACCAGACGACAACTGTTCAGTAATGTCTCCGTGATCGCGAGGGTGAAAACTGGTAGCGATCATCGAATGGTTAGAGGCACACTGAACCTAAACGTTAAGTTGGAGAGGTCTCGCCTAATGAAGTGAACGCTCCGTCCCCCTCGTGCTCTGTTCCAAAGTCCCGAAACCTTTCAGCTCGAGTTACAGAATCGTTTTCAGTGCCTACAAGACTGCAATGAAGTGGACGATATGAATGACAAGTTCGTGGAAAATGTCCATGCGGTTGGAGCTAAGTTCTGCAAGACCCGCTGCAGAAGAACACAAAAACTCTCCGATCAGGAGAAAATCCTAGTGTGGGGGTAATGTTTTTAATAAAAAAAAAAGCTTTTAATAAAAAAAATCTCAAGGCTGTTAGACGGGAGATGACAGACAGACAGATCTCCAAATGCATGCGGCGGGACTTACGCAACTTCAATACAGCTCGTATTGAAGAAGCGATCGAGCGGAACCAAGGCTCCAAAGTCTTTGTCAGAGATCTGTCTGCCAGAAAGAGCCAACTGTCTAAGCTGAAGGCCGAGTGTGGCAGCATTGTTTCCGGGGCACCTGAGATTTTGAGTGAGATTGAGAAGTTCTATGGGCAGCTGTACACATCATCGTTGGAGCCACACGCAAGTGTGAGTAACGATCCAAGAGCGAGTCTTATCCGACACTATTCCGAAGATATCCCGGACGTCAGTCTGAGTGAGATTAGAATGGCTCTCCAGCACCTTAAAAACGGCAAGGGCCCAGGCGAGGATAGAATTACAGCGGAACGTCTGAATACGGGTGGAAAACCGGTACTTGAAGTCCTTCAGAAGCTCTTTAATTCCGTCTTCCATGGTGGCATTACACCGGAGGCGTGGAGCAGAAGTGCGGTGGTCTTGTTCTTCAAGAAAGGTGACAACGCTATCTTGAAGAACTACAGACCGATTTCCCTTCTGAGCCGCGTCTACGTGCTGTTTTCGAGAGTCATTACGAATCGTCTCGCGCACAGACTTGACGACTTCCAGCCTCCCGAACAAGCCGGTTTCCGAAAGGGCTTTAGCACCATACACCACATACATAGCCTTCGGCAAGTTGTACAGAAGTCCGAGGAGTACAATTTGCCACTATCTCTGGCGTATGTGGACTATGAGAAAGCCTTTTGATTCAGTCGAAATTTGGGCGGTGCTGCAGTCCCTTCAGCGGTGCCAAGTTGACTGTCGGTATATCGTAGTGCTGAAGTGCTTGTACAGTAGAGCTACGATGGCTATCCGAGTACAGAACCAGAGTACGAAACCTATCCAATTGTAGAGAGGTGTAAGACAGGGTGACGATATATCCCCGAAACTCTCCAATGCAGCGGATTGGAAGACGTTTTCAAGCTTCTGGACTGGAAAGGATACGGTATCAATATCAATGGCGAGTACATCACTCACCTTCGATTTACCGACGATATAGCCCTTATGGCAGAATTGCTGGACGACCTAAGCACCATGCTCAATGACCTCAATAGGGGAGACTAGTCAGACATACCTCAAAACCTTTAAACAAAATTGTACAACCAGTGCGTGTTGCCAGTGATGACTTACGGATCTGAGACGTGGTCCTTCACTGCTGGCCGTATGAGGAAGCTCAAGGTCGCTCAGCGAGCTATGGAGAGGGCTATGCTCGGGGTTTCTCTGCGTGATAAGCTTAGAAATGAAGATATCCGCAGTAGAACCAGAGTAACCGACTTAGCCCAACGGATTAGTAAGCTGAAGTGGCAGTGCCATATAGCTCGAAGAACTGACAACCGATGAGGAAGAAAGGTTCTTGAGTGTTCGCCTCGTACCGGTAGGCGAAGTGTAGGGAGAGATGGAGTGACGACCTGGTAAGACATGCAGGAAGTCGATGGATGCAGTTGGCTCAGGACCGTGCTTTGTGGCATTCCTTGGGGGAGGCCTATGTTCAGCAGTGGACTTATGAAAGGCTGTAATGATGATGATGATGATTGCAGCTGTCAACGATCCCCGAAAATTATGGCTATGCGAATTTTTATTTCATTGTAGCTTTTTTTCGATTTCAGTGATTAGTAAGCTGAAGTGGCAATGAGCCGATCATATAGCTCGAAGAACCGACAACCGATGATAAAGTAACGACCCAGTAAGAGAAGCAGGAAGTCTATGGATGCAGGTGGCTCAGAACCGAGATTTGTGGCCTCCTTTGGGAAAGGCCTATGTAAGCTGTGAACTTTTAATGTGCTGTAATTATGATGATGATTCGATTATAATGAAGAAACTATTGAATACAGGAATGCACTTTTGGCAATCTATTTAATTGTTTTACTACTATACACACTTTCTATAGGTACTTTAAGTACATACTTACAAGTCCAATGCTGAACGTTGCCCCACCTCCCCCAAGAAAACGTAATATAAACACTCACGCCTGTCACCCAGAGGGGTAGGCAGAGACTATGGACTTCCATTTGGCACGATCCTGACACACCTCTCTCACTTCCTCCAGATCCATATACCTACGCATACATCCCCCTAGAAGTGCCAAAAAAAAACACGGTCCTGAGCCACCACACCACTCTCGCATAGCTGCCTTCCCCGCTCATCACTGTCGTCGAGAACACGACCTTAGTGTAGAAACTGGATGTCCGTTTTATTCAAGTTTGCAGTGGGACGGAGTTGAGTTATCGGCTTGCATGTAAACACGCCTATTCAGTGACATTACAGTGATACGAATGGTGACCACTCGATCTGTATGAAACATTTACCACCATGCAAAAATTCATTTTAGCAAATATGTACACATTTATATATTTAGTTTGTTTCAAGCACTGGACCGTTACCTAAGAACAATTTTAAATTCCAGTGGAATACTAAACAAGTTGTTATTTTACCACTGCTACGCAAGACTTACCAAGTGATGGAATGTAATAAACTTGCATTTTGGGATCTTCAACTGCCATCATACATAAACCAGTATTAGGAATAACACATAAATCGTTAAAATCTGCAGAAGACTCTATATTCGTATATTGTTTACCCTGTAAAGAAAAACGTTTTATAATGTTAAATAAGATACATAATGTCATATGTCATAATAATATAATATGCATATAATGTCTTACAAGAACTAGAAGGCAGGGCCCTCTTTTCTACCACTCTTACATATTTGTTTCATTGCAGCAATGCACTCACTGCTGTTTTCCAGTTTGGAGGTTAAGAGCGTCAGTTTAAGTACAGTTAGCAAACGAGCTCTGAGACATTTTATTTTCAACCGACTTCAAAAAAGGAGGAGGTTATCAATTCGACGGTTTTTGTGTGTTACCTCAGAACTTTTTTCTAGGTGAACCGATTTTGATGATTTTTTTTATTTGAAAGCTGGTGCTTCTCATGTCTCTCACATATAAATTTGATCAAGATCTGACCGGTAGGTTTTTGAGTTATCCTTAATAATGCGTATTTAATTGACTTCGACTACATTGATGATGTTCTCATTTTATATTGAAGTAGTTTGTACAAAATTTCTAATTTTACCACTTCTACTTATGGGGAAACACATCTGTTACCTTCTATGTTAGAAATTATTTGGAGGTAACCTCGTCCGCGAAGAACTTAGACAAAAAAAACATGCAGATGTATAATAGTGGTATTTGGGCAAGAAAATCCACTATAAAAGCAGTTTTTGCTTTATCATCACTACAGCCCTTCACAAATCTACTTCTGAACATAGGCTTCCACCAAGGAATGCCACAAAACCCGGTCATGAGCCATCTGCATTCATCAACTTCATCAAGACATGCTACCAGATCGTCACTACATGTTACTCTTTCCGTGGCTGTTCTACACTTCGCTTAACGGTACGAGGCTACTACTCGAAAACCTTTCCTCTCCATTGGTTGTCGGTTCTTCTATCTATAAAGCCTGCCCATTGCCACTTCAGTTTGCAGATCCGTTGGGCTATGTCGGTTATTCTGGTTCTACTACGGATATCCTCATTACGAAGTCTATCACTTAGAAAACTCCCAGCATAGCCTTCTCCTTAGCTGAGCGATCTCGAGCTTCCGCATACGGCCAGCAGTGAAGGTCCACTTTCTATGGTGTGCCACTTATGGAAGAAAGGTTTCATCACAAGGAGTCCCTCCCTTTCTATGAAATCGGCCAGCTGTTGACCCCTTGTGTTCTGTTGCCCAATTGCTATAGTTTAGTTAAACTATATTTTACTAGTTAATCTTTTTAAAAAAAATGAAATCACTTACGGTATTACTATCCCAAATCTTTAGAACCAACGAGTCCATTGAATAGACATAGTTCATTTGCTTGTGGAATTCTATATTCTTAATAGGGATTTCATTCATATGATCTTTGATCAGAAGTGGTTTGCTAGATCTAATATCATAAAGTAAAATATGTCCAGAAGATGTCCCAACCCCCATTTGTAGGGCGCCATTAAATTTCAGTTCTGTTATGGCAGGCAAACATCTAAAAATATAATTGTAACAAAATAACATATAGAAAATGAAATAAGTATATAAATAACTACTATAATATATAAATACTCATTATTCTTGTCATATGGTTATGCTTATGCGCGGAAATGACGAGCGGGAACCTCCATTATTAGCCAAATCGTCAAGTATAACGAAAATCCAAGAAGACCTTATTTAGATAGATAGATAACACTTTATTGTACGCCAAAAAAGAAACATAAATATTAACAAAAAAAGGAGAGAAAGAAATGTGGTACAATGGGCGGTCTTATCGCTAAGAGCGATCTCTTCCAGACAACCAAACAATTATATTTATGTATTTCCAAACCGGTGTAAGGAAGCAGTGTAAAAATTCAGAATGTCTGTTATTACAATAGCAAATAGGCTATTAATATAGACAGTAACTACTTATTCTGGATTCAAATTTAAAAAGCGTTTATCATTTAACACCATTTAACATGATAATGGATCACGGACTGTACTCGCGTTGGTATTTTTCTCCAACTCGCGGGTAGCGAGAGTTATCCGTCTTTCAGCTTTCATACTGTTATTTCTAAAATCACAAGGTCTATTCGTAATTCGCGTCTTGCAGATTGTGTAGCTGCATGTTTTAGGTACACATACATGACATACGATTAAATAGCACAAACAATTTGACAAAATAATATGTCTTCTCAGCTCTAAAGAAACCCCGCAACTTGTTGGAAACATTCAACATGGTCATCATCCAGCATCAATCATGGCTCGGGAGGGGAACTTTTTCACTTTCGTGAAAAAGGAGTATAAAGTAAACCAAATCAGCAGTAGCGGTGGCTAAATTCCCCCACAGAGATAAATCTATAGATTCTTGTACAAATTCATAGATTCGTGCCCTATAATATCTAGGCCAGTGTCAAAGGCGACTTAGAATGTTTTTAATTAATCGCTTAAACTTTGATAACTATGTACATTGAATAAGGTTTATGATTATTACACTGTTTCTTTAATATATATATATATATATATATATATATATATATATATATATATATATATATATATATTTATGTAGACTTATAGCCTACTAGCTCGAATAGTGCACAGACTATTTGCAGGTAGATAACAATGAAACATTATGTTTGGATTAAAATTTAAAAAGATACCCATAAAAAGAAGTTATCTACAAAAATACATATAAAAAGATAAAGAAATTTCATTTTATTACTTACTTATTATCAATATCAGAACAATGTAATGCACAATCCAATAAACCCTGTCGTGATTTAGTTCGAGGGTCCCAGGCCTCAACTTGACCGCTTTCTGTACCAAGTATGAGTAGGCCGTGTGCTTCATTGACAGCACAAGTGTTAATTTCATTTGCTTTTGTTACAAAAGGAGCCAAAAATTGTCCCATTTCTAAATTTAATCTGTACACTTCCTGCAATAAAAATATTTTATCATTCTACAAGCTGGCCCAGCAGTGTTGTTATCACCTTTTTAATAGATATGTTCACTCCTTTGCTCCAGACTATTTGCAGTATAATAATAAAGTTTATTATTATTTCAACCACAGCACCACCTATTGGGTCCAGATTTTGTGATGTTCTTTTTTGCCACTAAGCCAACTAACTGTAATAAAATATTGTGAATATGAGTCATCTTTATTCATAAATATCCATCCTTTCATCCATTTCACACATTAAGTCCACTGCTGAACGTAGACCTCCTCTATATCCGCCGACAAACTGTTACGCAGTTTGGTGGGTGTGAAAAATGTACTAAAGGTTTGGTCCAGAATTTATTATTATTATTATATATTAGATATGAGCGCCGACAGCCAATTCCACGGCGGCGGCGTGGCTTGAAAATTTCGTCAGCGGCGACGGCGTCGCGGCGGCCGACCTGATATCTGTCCGGATGAGAGGCCAGCAGAAGGTGTCACAGGGAATGTGCATGATCCTCCACATTCAGCGTAGGTGAAGTAACCAGTTGTGTCAGACCATATGCCAAGGCAAAATCATGAACAGATTTCTTCCCGCATGATCGGTTAAACGTGAACCGAGCCATTCGGCGTGGTGGGCGTTAAAATGGCCAAGGATCACGATATCTGCGGATGGGACCTGTTGTAGCAGGGAACGACACGACACAGACCATTTGGACGAGTCGGTCTGTGTCGGCTACTTACCTACTATGGGACCTATAGAGGCACCCGTAGACACGCGAATGGTCGTCGCTGTCTACGCGTAGCCAAAGGATGGGCAGGACCTTCAAGACTGCCAAGGCGTCGAGAACAGATGTCCTCTCTGATGTATACGCAAACTCCAGCCTAAGACACAAAGGAGTGTTCCAATTTATACTCCGGGTAGGAGAGATACGAAGCTGATACTTCCGGAGAGGACACCTGCGTCTCGATCAGAAAGAGCAGATCAGAAAATAGAATAGAGTGGAGTAACTCGGTCGTGGATGCTCAGCAAGGAATTTTCCATTACCAGGGGTGCTGGTACCCTCTTGGGGTAGTATTACATTCAATTTCGGGTAATGAAGTCGCGACAGTGCGTCGCGCGCTCCACGTGGGGGCGAAGCGTCGACATGACTTCACGGCGACGGCGGCGCGCCGGCGCGGCGCTCATATCTACTATAGATTGCATCATAGGGGCAATTTTACCATAGTTGCCACGCTTGGCAGGTGGGTTTTTTTTTACAGGATAGGGTGACAAACGAGCACACAGTCCACCTGATGGTAAGTGGTTGCTGTGACCCATAGACATCTACATCTATCCTCAATAATGAATCAAAATGCAGATGCGTTGTCACCCGTGAGGACTAAGATGATATGCCTCTTTTCCAGTAAAAAGGGTCTCCGGTTCTCTACACTCACCATACGAAACACAACAGTGTTAAGCCGCTATTTTACGCTGGTATTCTGTGAGAGCGTGGTCCTTCCCCGGTCGAGCCGACCCATTCATGCTACAACTATATTATTAATATAGCTGCAGCATGGCTCTACCACGTAGAAGGTTGCCAAGCATTTTTATTATTTTCAGTTGTTATCATTGTTCCCATTTTCTGTTTCAGTTTTCCTTTGTCGCCTTTTATGATACTCACGGGGCGATATAGGTTAGTGGATATTCTTAAACCACCACTACACCGCAAGTTCATAAATATAGAATTTGTTAATAACTTGACAGCTCGGTGGTCATTGTTTCGACAAAACAAATTTCGATTTTGCAAGATAATATTGGGTAAATATGATTTAAATTGGTCAAATTGTTCAGAAGTTGCACAATCACTAACAGATGCATCCACTATAATCTCTCACCTTCTACATTATACATATGTTACATATAAGAGATTTCACCTATGTACTGACTCATCACGATATTTCTGGAACCATATGGTCTAGACTTGAAATTTGGTAGAAATATTTCTTTCGCCGAGTAGAGGTCAGCTAAGAATTTTACGAAATTCCACCCGCCAGGGTTGCGGGGGTTAATGTGATGTTTTAATTTACGCTCCCGCAACCCCTTTTGCGGGCCTTATGGTTACAGAGATATCGTGATTTAAAAAAATCACATTTTCAATCTATAGCTCTTATGGGTATAACACTTGGCCAGAATATTCTTCTTGGCATGTAAAAAATTACCACAAACGGATTTTATGAAATTCCACCCGCAGGCAATGCAGGCAAGTGGCAAAAACAGTGGGGGGGGGGGGGGGGGGCGTTAAAAATAAAAAAATAAACTTTTAATCTATAGCCCTAGTGTTTGAGTCCCTGGATGATCTAAACGATTCACAATTGGACCCGGTACGTGGTGCTGTTGTCGAGATCCAGAAATCACCCGTGCGAAGCCGGGGCGGATCGCTAGTATATATTATATAAAAATTCATAGTACATATTTAGACACATTTCCATAAACAATGAAATATTAATCTGGAAGATACAGCTGCCCATCCCCTCTGTCGCCTCTAACGAGCCGCACGGAGTGATGTCGGGGAATGGGTTCTCTTACGGCGCTACTACACGGCCAAGTCTACAGACTAAGAAAAATAACAACTATCCCTCGTAAGTTTGTATCTTCAAATATAAGGCAATCCTCGAATCCGGCAACTTGTTCTATCACCGGGAGCGCGACCATTTGTCATAAGGAGATCCCTGATTTTTCGTCCATAATTCTGTCGTTAACAAGTTGTAAAGACTGGGAGTGTATCTACGAAGGTTGGCTACCTTATACTCAGAATAATCAAACGTTTGTTAAAGGTTAGTTAAGATATAAAGTAACTGTTATTACTTAATTCTGGAAAATTGTCTTGAATTGAATTACACTAAGAAACATGTGAGAAGGTGCTGAATCATGACATACAGGTTTTAATCTAGTTTGGGATTCAGAGGCTTCATAAGCTATTTGTAACCTCATATTATCTCAATAAAGATTATTATTATTATAAAGGTCATACAGGTTTCTTCTCGTACCTCGGCTTATCCTGAGATCCGACATCTCGGTACATTTCGAAATCTTTCATCTCGAACATTGCAATACGGAGAACGATACGAATGACAAGCTCGTGAAAACTGCCAATGTGGTCAGAGCTAAGTTCTGCAAGACCCGTCGGAGAGGAACCCAAAAATTTTCCGATCACACTATGAATCTCATCGCTGTTAGACGGTAAACGAAGATGCAGTCTTCAGCAGATATGACAGCATACTGGTAACTGAACAGACTTATCTCCAAATGGATGCGGCGAGACTAACGCATATTTAATACAACTCTTATTATAGAAGCGATTGAGCGGAACCAAGGCTCCAAAGTCTTTGCCATATATCTGACGGTCGAAAAAACTGTCTGTCGTTGACTGTCGAAATTGAAGACCGAATGTGGTAGTATTCCAGGAGATCTGAGATTTTAAGTAAGATTGCGAGGACACAGACAACGCTAGGTTTTACGTATACGTCATCGTTGGAGCCACACACGCAATTGTGTAACGATCTCAGATCAAGCCTTATCCGACACTATTACGATGATGTCCCGGATGTAAATCTGAGTGAGATTAGAATGGCTCTCCAGCTTCTAAAAAGCCCCGGGTGAAGATGGAATTACAGCGGAGCTTATGGAAACGGGTAGAAAACCAGTACTTAGTACATTCGGAATTCTTAAATTCTGTTCTCCATAGTGGCACTACTCCAGTGGCGTGGAGCAGGAGTGCGGTGGTTTTGTTATTCAAGAAAAGAAAAGGCTCTATTGAATAACTATAGAACAATGACCGATTCTGAGCCGCGTATACGTGCTGTTTTTGAAGAGACATTACGAATCGTCTCGCACGCAAATTCGACGTCCCACAGCCTCCCGAACAAGCCAGTTCTGAATAGGATTTAGTACCTTTAATCGAATCGAAGATAGTGTCTTGCGTATGCGGACTGTGACAAAATCCATACGTGGTAGAGCCATGCTGCAGCTATATTAATAGTATAGTTGTAGCACGAATGGGTCGGCTCGACCGGGGAGGGACCACGCTCTCACAAATTACCAGCGTAAAATAGCAGCTTAATGCTGCTGTGTTTTGTGTGGTTAGTGTAGATAACCAAAGACCCATTTTACTGGAAAAGAGGCATTCCATCTTAGTCCTCACGGCTGACAACGCATCTGCATTTTGATTCACAAATGGAGATAGATGTAGATGTCTATGGGCCACAGCAACCACTTACCATCAGGTGGACTGCGTGCTCGTTTATCACCCTTATTCTATAAAAAAGCCTGTTTCCATTGAAATTTGGACGTTGCTACAGTCTCTTCAGAGATGTCAAGTTGACTGTCGGTATATCGAAGTGCTGAAGTGTTTGTACAGTAGGGTTAATATGCCTATACGAGTACAGAACCTGAGTACGAAGCCTAACCAACTACAGAAAGGTGTAAGACAAGCTGACGTTATAACATCCCCGAAACTGTTTACTGCTGCATTGGAAGATGTTTTTAAGGTATTGGACTGCAAAGAATATGGTAATAACATCAATGGTAAGTATATCACTGAAGGACCTAAGCACTATGCTATGTCATGTGAATGACCCCCCAATAGATAGGTCTTAAAATGAACATGCACTAAACAAGTCATGCATAATGTCCACATCACACCTATGCCAGAAGTTTATGGGAGCACTATGCTGACATTATCAACAAGTATATATACCGACCAGTGTGTGTTGCCAGTGATACCATACGGATCAAAGATGCGGTCTTTTACTGCTGGTCATATGAGTAAGCTTAAGGTCACTCAGCGAGCTACGGAGAGGGCTATGCTCGGGGTTCAGGGTAGCTATGGAGAGGGCACACAGAGAATGTGGGATAGACTTAAAAATGAGTATATTGCTAATATCCTCATTCCTAATAAAAGCAGAGTAACTGACATATCCCAACTGATTAGTAAGCTGAGGTGGCAATAGCTGGCCAAATAGCTCAAAGAACTGACCAATGGGTAAGAAAAGTTCTTCAGTAGCAACCTCATACCAATAAGCGAAGTGTAGGGTGGCCTGCCTCTGGAAGCAGTGACAACCTGGTAAGATATGCAGGAAGTTGATGGATGCAAGTGGCTTAGGATCATTTTATTTGACATTTCTTGGAGGAGGCCTATCATCTTTCAGCAGTGGACTTGTGAAGTGCTATAATAGTATATCTAGAAAAATAGGAGTTGGAAGTATAAATAAAAGACAAAAATAATGAACTTACATTCGAAGCACCAACAACAAATAAATCACATGAAGGTTTATGGTATGCAATATCTCTGCCAAAGTGAGGTACTCTAAGACGGTAATGTCTTCCATGACCAACATGAAATTCTACATATCTGTCACACTGTAGAAAAACAATCTGAAAAAAAAAAAGATGTATTAATTAAGCATTAAGTTAAAAAAGAAAAATCATAACAGAAATTAATCTCTAAATCTATTGACATTTTAAAAAGATATTTAACTCACTTTTGTAAAATCTTCACTTAATATTTCAAATGTAACTACTTCAGAATCCAAACATCTCTCAAATTTCAGTGACAGATTATTTACATCAAAACATTTTATTCTCGGTTTATAAATTCCTGTGGCCATTATATACTGTCCATCTTTAGACATTCGGATACTGGTGCTCACCCCGGGCATATCAAATTCTTGAATAAGTTCAATCCTCCTTCTGAGATCAACATTTTTCTTCAGTAGTGCCCTTTTCTTTCTTTCAGATAACCACTAAATGTAACAAAACAATAAGTTACATAGTTTTTTAAATAAAAATAAAATAATGACTACTAGGTTACATGATAGCTTAGGGGCTAAGCTGTCGCTGTAAATTTCACAATATGTGAGCAAACCGGGTTCGATCCCTGCCAGCACCAACATTTTCAATATGATATAGGCACACTGCAGCTATATTATGATTGTAGCACAAATGTGTTGACCACACTCTCACAGAATACCAGCGTAAAATAGCAGTAAATGTTGCAGTATTTCGTATAGTGAATTTAGAGAACCAGAGCCTTCTTTTACTGTAAACGAGGTATAACATCGTAGTCCTCAAAAGTGACAACACATTTGCATTTTGATTCTAAACATAAAATAGATGTAGATGAATATGGGCCACAGCATCCACTTACCATCAAGTGGACTGTGTGCTCATCATGGCATTAGTAAAATATTGTACTAAGCTTATTTCAAATTGATCTTATTTCTCAAATATATAAGGACCATTATTTTTATCACCTGACACAGAAATAGATTGCCATCCTTGTAAGTTTTTAATCCTTTGATAAAAGAAGGTGATATAATAATATCACTTTTAAGTTAAAGTAAATCTTAAAAACGAAACTTAAAAGTAAATCTTCATTTATAATTTTTTAATTTCTACCCTTTTTGCTGGTTTTAATGTTTAAACAAAAACAAATTCTGAACAACTATCACCCCCCAAGTCATTTTGGCACAAAACTCCAGCTATCTTTAGCATTACAGGAAAAATATACATATGGAATTCCGTTTGGGGATTCCGTTTCGATATACCAATACGGATTTCCGAACACAGCAAGTCCATATGAAATCTATGACCCGTTACATACCTACGGTTGTTTTCCGTTCGAAATTTTACGGGCAAAATGAGATTCCGTACGTGTGGCAGACCCGTTTGGAATTCCGATAAAGATTTTATTGATAACTTGATTAGGAGAATTCCGAGGAGACTGGAAACAGTTCAAAGAGCTGGAGGGGGCAACACTAAGTACTGATTATAGCCCATGTTATAGCCTTTTCTAAGCATTTATGAAAAAAATTAATAAAAAATTCAGTACTAAAATTAAATTATCATTTGGTTGTTTGTTTTTTTGGCATTTGCAATTATAAATTAACGAATAAGCGAAATCCAAATTAATACACTTCATTGTCATAAATATCTTTGATATTTTGTTTTATACACACGTTTTTCTGCATTCCTCTAAATTTGTCCATGAGTATATTTAAATAAAATCAAGAAAATATGAGATTCTGTTCAATAAGCCTATTCAAAAGTATAAAAATGAATGGATTGACATAAAATATGTAATAATAGAAGTAGGCAGATATAAAGCCAAGGTTGAATTTAGAATCGTTTGGCATTGGGAATTTGGGGGAGTAAGATGTTTCATTTCGTAGAGATTTGGTCCCCGATTATAATAATACCACTCTCATTAAAAGGTAATGCACCGTTATCGAAAAAATAAATATAAACTATTATAACTTAAAATACGTAAAACATGGAAAAACGTATGCAATATTACTGTGAAAGTTGGATAGCATACAGAATTTTGTGTAAGTGCAACAAGGATGTAAGGCTAGTGTCACATTATTCTACTGTCTATACTCTCTGTCAAGAGTTATTTCGCTAAAGACAACTATTATAATAGAGAAAATTTTACAGACTTCATATATGAATATTTATGGAGAAGAGAAATTATAAAGAATAAAAGAGATCCTTTTGAGGAATTAATAAAAACAATGATGTTTACAGGCAATAAAGAAATGATTATAATATACTGTTTTTATTTCTTAATTTTTAAAACTGCCTAGAAATACTTGAACACCCAGAAATAATTTCAGTTGTAATAGATTAGAAGGTTGTGGCGGAAGCGAAGGCAACCTGACCTGACTTTATAGATATCTGAACTGATTGAATTTATACTAAAATTAAACCAGCACGCCCTACTCCACGTAGTCTTGTCAGCCCTACTACTAGAGTATTTTTGTAAAGCCGTAGGCGCGGAAGGAGAGCAGCCCCCACCCGCCGTAGCAAATCGCAGGCATCTGTGCGAGGTGAGCACGGAAGCCTGTGATTTGCTACGCAAGGGCGAAGGGGCTGCATTTCCCGCAGCGCCGAAGCCGTCGTAGAAGTAACTTTGGGTCAATATTCCTGTGTAAAAAAGTGAGGTTATGATTTTATAAAAAAATATTACTCATAAATTATACCTTTCCGCAAAGAGGGAAGGGTAGAGGGGCTTTCCCTGATAGGGCACACTCCTGCTCCCCTCTCCTGCCGGAGATGATAAATGTTACTTTCAGGTTAGGTCTATGGGATTTTCTTTTTGATTTTTCTCAAGAACAGTGTAATACCTTTTAATGGGATTGGTGTCAGTAGTAAGGGAACACTCCCCCCTTTCCCTCCTCTTATTCCCTGCCTCCTCCTCCTGCCAAACGATTCTAAATTTCAACCTAAACCTATCCTGACCAACCAATCTTAACTACTAAACACTTGTTAAAATAATTTTTATCCAGGTTACTCATACTCCCTTCTATAAATTATATTTCACACCTCCAATAATAAAAATATGATAAAAATTGGTTATTAGTATTATAAATATACGTGTATTTTAACAAAAGAAATCAACATACATCTGGTAATGACTTTCCAGCACTGAGGTTATATATCTTCACATTATCAATTTCAGAAACCTGCATTTTTTTAATTATACAAAAAATCCAAGATATGTTTTTTTTTACAATAAATTATTTGTCTCAGCGTCTCACATTTTACAATAAAAAAAAACCGTAAATGCGAAATAAAGATGGAAACTAACGAAATAGAAATAAAACGATGAACCAATGAAACTCTAACCTTACAAACCCATAACATCAATACCAATCAATACAACACCATAGACAAAAAAGTTAGTGTTTGAGTTGAGCTGACAATTAACCAGTGTCGCAAGGTAGACTCATCCACTTTCCCCTAAACGCCCACTTAAAATCCCCAGATTGAAACAAAATCCCTTTTATGATAATCATAATAATTATAAATAATGTATAAATCAAAATCTTTAAAAAACTTAAAACACAGAATCACCTACCTCGCTTTTATACACTATCGAAACTACAAAACTTTTTAAGCTTACTTTTCGTAGCTTCGAATAATGCAGAAATTGAAAGATTGTCTTTCACTAAATGACATCAGCAGCCTTTACCGACATTTAATTCCGAAGTTAATTACATTAATATTATTATAATAATTATAATTACAATTATATTATAATAATTACATTAATATTTAAATACATTACTGCAATAAGCAAATTAACTTTCTTAATTTATAGCAGTAATAAGTCATCAAAAATGATTTTTCCTCTGATATTTACCTACTAAAATCATATTAATTTATGTATCTTTAGTTTCAGGACACTGCTTAATATCTAATCAACGAAAATAAAAATAAAATCCTTACTCATCTATAAGCATGCTTCTAATTGTCATAGATAGTTTATTTATAAAGTTTTTATAAATTCTGTTTTGAACTTAAATCGTTCTGGTTTCATTTTTTCAACGTAAATTAATGGAAGTTTGTAAATAACCTGAACAAATCCCCTTAAAAAATGTTTCACCTATATTTTTAAGCCGTCTAAAATCCACTAAATTTAGGGGAAAATCCCCCAACCTGCCGACACCATTGAAGTAAAATGTACTGTTACGAGGTTGGGGTTCGAGACAATTAAAAACTGCCGATTGAATTACCAAAATTGACACTTTAATTACACAACACTAATTACAATCTAAAATCACTCTAATAATAAAATACAGTTCGCCGTTATTTCGCTTCGAAGTATTCTCTTGTATCGCCAATTCAATACTGCCCCGGTCGTGGTCTATACCGGCCTTATATAGGGCCTCAGATAGTTTCCAGAACCTTCTACTGTAGCGACATCTAGGATGTTCGAGTACATATCGGTCCCGAAATTTCTGGAAGGATCTCGACTCTCCTAGTTCTGCTACTCGACACTAGAGGGCGCTAGTGTAATTAGTGTTGCCATGTACAAGACATTAATAGTGGCGCGCAATACTTTCATTTACTCGACACTTGAAGCACAGCTTGAAGTTTAGGAGATTTCCCTTTGCTGCGAACTGGATTGTGTAACCACACTAGTGAACCTTCATCAAACCCCTTGTTGTTCATTTTGCGGTCATACCGTGTTTTCATCTTCTCAGACGTTTGCTGGCCCGTCTGTCTGACGTGCTCAAAACTGTCATTCATTTTGTTCCGCAAGTCATTTGCATAATCGGTTATACTGCGTGGGGCATCAGGTGGTATTCCGGTGATCAGGTCTGCAGTCAGCCACAATTCTCTCCCAAAGTTTGCGAAAGCTGGTGTCACTGATGTACTTTCGTGAACAGCGCTTCGATATGACAACAAAAACGGTTGTATGTGCCTGTCCCAGTCTCGTTGCCGTTTTTCCACAACTTTTGCTAGGTACCTCTCCAATGTCTGATTAAATCTTTCTACCATTCCATCAGATTGTGGGTGGTAAGAAGTTGTTCATGTTTTCTGAGTACCCATAACTCGGCAAGTTTCCTGGAATATTTGAGACTCAAAATTCCTTCCTTGATCGCTGTGAATTTCTAAAGGTACTCCAAAACGACAGAAGACTTCATGAACTAGTTTATCTGCAACTGTTGAAGCTTCTTGATTTGGAATGGCGAAGACTTCTGGCCACTTAGTGAAGTAATCCATCACTACCATGAAATACTTGTTACCACTTTCAGTTTCTGGAAACGGCCCCGCAACGTCAATGGCTATCCTCTCCCATGGTGTACCAACATTGTACAATTTCAATGCGCCTCTACTACGAATTTGAGGTCCCTTTACAGCCGCACAACTTGTACATTTGCAGCACCAGTCCTCGACATCGTCACGACAGTGGACCCAGTAAAACCGTTCCCGGATCTTCAGGAGAGTTCGTTTAACTCCCAGGTGGCCTCCTGAACAACCACTATGGTACAGCTGTAGAACATCCGGCACTTTAGCCTTAGGGACAACCATTTGCAAATGACACCTGTCTCCCCGACCATTTTCCCATTTACGGCACAGGACTCCATCCTGAATCAGCAAGCTGTCCCATTGGGCCCAATAGCTTTTCGTGGTCGAACTCATTGCTGAGATGTCGCTCCACTTGGGCTTAGGAGCACTGGCCATCATCCATTCCAGAATCGGCTTAATGTCCGAATCTTCCTGCTGTGCATGTTGTAGGCTGTCCTTCCATTCATTGCAGAGCTGGTCTGTCCTGAATATCCTCGTAGATACCACTTCTTTACCCTCTTGCCTAGTACAATGCTTGCAATCTTCAGGGCAGTCTTCTTGATAATGCATCTGCATTGCCATGAGATTTCCCGCTGCGATGTTCGATCACAAAGTCGTATTCCTGTAGTAGTTCAATCCATCTCGCAACTTGTCCTTCAGGATTTTTGAACTGCAATAGCCATTTCAGTGCAGCATGGTCAGTTCGTAAGTAGAATTTCCGCCCCAGGAGATATTAGCTAAAATGCTGCAAGGACTTTACCACAGCAAGCAATTCCCGTCTTGTGACACAATAGTTCCTTTCCGGCTTTGACAACGACTTGCTGAAGTACGCTATCACAATCTCTTGATCACCATTCCGTTGAGACAACACACCGCCAAGTCCTATATCACTTGCGTCTGTGTCAACTATGAATTCCTTGGCCGCATCAGGGTACCCCAAAATAGGCGTTTTGCACAGACGGTTCTTGAGCTCCCGGAATGCAATATCGCAACTTTCATCCCAGCAGAAATATCGCTTCTCCTAGGTTAGCTTGTGCAGAGGTTTGGCTATATCTGCAAAGTTCTTCACAAATCGCCGATAATAAGAGCACAAACCCAAAAATGCTCTAACCTGCGTCTTGTCTTTTGGAACCGGCCACTCCTTGACAGCGGCAATTTTCTCTGGATCCGTGCGGATACCTTCTTCCGACACTACATACCCCAAAAAACTAACTTGCCCTTTGAATAGTGAGCACTTCTTCGGACTCAACTTGAGGTTGGCACTCTGGATCTTTGTGAGCACACGTTCCAGGTTTTGAAGGTGTTCCTCAACCGTACGGCCTTTGATGATGATGTCATCCAAATAGACCAGACAGGCATATCCAATTAGCCCGGTAAGTACAAGCTCCATCAACCTTTCAAACGTTGCTGGAGCATTGCACAATCCAAACGGCATGACTTTAAATTGCCACAGACCCTTTCCTGTGGAGAATGCAGTTTTCTCCTTGTCCTTAGGGTCAATTTCAACCTGCCAGTAGCCACTTTTCAGATCCAGCGTACTAAACCACTTTACGCCTGTAAGCATGTCCAGCGTGTCATCAATTCTTGGTAACGGATAGCTGTCCGTCTTTGTAACGTCGTTCAGGCGGCGGTAGTCAACACAAAACCGCATGCTGCCGTCCTTCTTCTTTACCAGCACCACAGGTGAATACCATGGACTACATGAAGGTTCAATAACACCATCCTTCACCATTCCCTCAATCATGGTTTCCACTTCCTTTTCACGTGCTACAGGCAATCTTCTTGGCCGCTGGCGAATAGGCAATTCTTGTCCTGTGTTTATTTTGTGTTGAACTAAGCCAGTCTTTCCTATGTCAGCTTCGTTTGACGAGTAAACATTGGCGTACTTGAGTAACAACTTCTTCGCCTTGACCATTTCATTCGGGGAAAGAACGCTGCGACAGTCTTCTAAAAGTGTGGTCACTCTCGTTTGTCCATCCTTGCTGGGGGTCCCAGTCGATAGATATTCGCACCAATCCAACTTTGCCACGTAAAATTGGTACACAACCAATTGGTTGCGTACCAATCCACTTCCTCACTAGTATCAACCAATGTGCCTTTTTCTATAATCTGTTCCTGATCACAAAGGTTCAACACACGTACTCCTGAGATGTCGGTGGTTCTGACCAAGGTTCGAGCCACTTTCCATGGAAGGTCATTGTCTACCCTTTCCACGAGTACACAACGATGAGCTTGCCCAGGACTCCGAGGAAGACTAACCGGCACAATCGTTTCCGATCTCGGCGGAAGAACAATCTTCTTAAGGCTGTACACATTCCCTGGTAACGCCCCTTCCACGAAAAGTTCCTCTTGTCCACATTTCAAAACACCTTGCTTAACGTCGATCTCACAACAATTCTTCCTCATAAAGTCTAGGCCCAGGATGCAGTCGTCCATTATATCAGCCACGATGACATTATGCAGGTAGATCATGTTGCCTAGCTTCAACTCCATCTCCTTCTCTCCACGGACGGATATGCGCTGACCGGTGGCTGTCACCAAATTAATGCGTTCGCGATTGTATGCGGAGTCCCCAAGAAACTTATTTATAAGTTGGGAACTGACAACCGTGCGAGAGGCTCCAGTGTCTATGGTCAGTTTACACGGCTTTCCGTTGACCTCGCTCATGATGATCAGGCTGTTTCCGTCACGGGTTTGTGAGATCGAAATCCTTGGGGCTCTTTTAACATCAGACAGCACCCGCCAGTTTCCCTTCTGCTGCTGGGCGGTGCTGTCAGCCACACTACCCTCTCGATATCGATCACCTTCCCTTTCTACAGTTCGTTTAGGGCAGCTGGATCGAAGATGGCCCCTTTCCCCAAAGCCGTAGCACCTAGGGCTGTAGCCCTTATTG